TGTTTTGAACAGTTGGCAATAGCCTGCAGTCAACAAAATCCAAAATGATATCAGAATATTCTGGCCTGTTATTACTGATTGGCCTTGATCATTCAGTGCTGTGCTCACGTAAAAGCATTCTCGAGTGACTTGAACTTTAGTTAGTGAAGACCGCATCATTCTAAGGGATAATGGATGGGGTGATAACAGACATCCTGGAGCTTTTCAAGAGTTACCGGACTCGTCGAAACTCAGAACAATCTGACGATGAAATCGCAAGTTCACCCACAGCCCAGGGTGTTCTGTGCTTTGTCAAATGGGAAAATGCAACCTCTCTCAGAAATGTGATCTGGCATGATAAAATTTTTGAATGTCATTGGATGACACCTTTTGCTTAGATATGAAACCAGATGTGTTAACCATTCATAGTACAATATGGTCTTAGTAAGTTTCTTCTTATAGAAGACATATAAAGCTCGATATGGTAGAGAAGAGTGACAATATACACAGGGATCCATTGACATATGGAACTAATGACGAGAAAAATGGTCAGATTCAGGTGGACATTGCAGTTCTCTTTCGGTTTGATTGAGACGGCTTGGTTGCCGAAACATCCTTTGAACTGAAAGGGGCATCCTCTTCATCGCTTTTCACCATCAAAACTTTCAGTTTTGTCTGTGTCTTGCTCCTGAGGAGATTTTTCAGTAGCTTTTCCTTTAGAGATCTGATCTCGAAGCTCTCTCAGTTTCGCTTTCTTGGAATTCAAGACTTCTAGAAACTGGAGCAGACAATGACCGGTCAGTCGACTCATTCCTAATAATGTATGGAAAAAGGAAAAGCGAGAGCAACAACCAATACTGCCTTCAGTAGGAATGCGGACCAAGCACAGCAATACTTCAAAGGATCAGACTTGAGGGCATTTTCTTGTACCTTCTTATTACCAGGTAATTGAAACATGACAAGTCCAACATTTTGATAATATCAAAACAAATGTGTTTAAATGAGAAAACATACCAAAAAAAAAAAAACACACTTGTCATATTATTAGAGAAAAAACTCATTTTATTTTAGTTTAAAAACCTAATAACAACGATACAATTAACTACATTCAAGTTTCTCCCACCTCAAATCAACCAGCAGAAAGGTAAATGAAACAGCTCTAAATTGAAGTGAGAGTTCAGAAGTGACCTAGCATAGATTTCAGATTCAAATTCCACTTTTTCGTTGCGAATCTTTCACTCTGGGATAAACACTTCTCAGCTTCCACTTTCATCCTCTCAAAAGATTCAGTTTTTCTGACAACTCTTCCTGTGGTAAATGTAGGCATGCACAATTATGATGTTCAAAATAGGGGAAAAGAGAGGCCTTGTCTGAGCCAATGCTATTTATTTTTATAAAATGGTGAATCATACATCATCCAACACGACACTGAACAAGTGATCACTTTCCAAATCATGCTCTTAAAGGACTTAAATTTATGGTGGCAAAAAATGGTGAAGAAAAACAAACCAATCTATTTCCCATTATCATAAAATATGTTCAATTTTTTTGAACCATCAACCTGGAATATTTGTTGGAATGAAATATGTTTATCCCTTATTTCTGTAATAAAAAATAGCAGCCACATGATAGTTTTCCAACTTATTGGCTTGTTACTCAACTCAACTGCCCCTAAGTTATACTACCTCCAATTCTAATATAAGAGCTAGTTAGCAGTCCTAAATATAAAATCCAAATCTCTTTTGTCTCCTAAATTTATAATATGTTCTCAAAAATATCCCTCTAATTGTAAGGTATTTCCGCCCAAATATAGTTTCAATATACATGATTGAATGAGAGTAATTTAAGGAAGTCAATATACATTTGTTACAAATAACTAACTTAATTAATTTTCTTAATCTCCTTAAATTAGTTATCTAGCTCTTATATTAAAGACCGGAGATAGTATATACTTTCTAGTCCAAACAAATAATGTCACATACATGGGAAACACTCCTTGATAACGTGGGACACCATGGGAAATGTATTTGAACTTTAACGTCGAATTTCAGGTTGGAAAAATGAATACAAGAGGCATGGACATGTATTCAGGTGCGTTTATCAGGGATAATTTTCTTATAAGAAGCTCAAACACATGGCAGGGCATCCAATAAGTGGTAAATGCTTATAACCCAAAAAAATCCAGAGGACTTCATACAAGATGAAGACAAAAGCCTCGACCAAACTATCAAGCTAAACCCATTCTCAAGAATCAGGAATCGTCAAGCCATGCCAGCCTAAGTTCGTAAGGCAAAGCACAGCTGAGTTCATTTCACATGAATTTTGGAAACCAACAAGATTTGGTTCAGGATTGCCCCTTGTTATGTTTGGGGCAACGAGACTAGACATGTCACAAACAGGAAGAAGTGGGCTTAAAAAAGATTACATTAAAAGGGAAAAAAAATACAAGGAGCATTCTTGCATGAATGCTAATCAAGAATATCTATCTGCTTTCTCTGACCTCATGTAAGAGGCATCAAGTTCTTTTCACTCAATCAACCATGGTTGGTGTTTTCTCCCTTATTCAACCAAGGCACTAAGCAACAAAACATAAAGTCATTTTTCTATAACATTTTCCTTCATTTTGACCTCATACCAATCGATGATACTGAAATATCTTATTTTTCCTAGCTTTCCTACTCCCCCATACCACCTTTTAAGTATCTCACCATGATAGTCTTCAAATTTGTCTTCAATCATTTGAACTCATGCTCTTTTCAATTTTTAGGTTGCATTGGATATCCACAACCTGGGAAGTGAAAAATGGGATGACTAGGGAATGAATTCAAGGACATCAAGCTTGCCTTGATCTTAGAGAATGAAGCTAGTACCACGAAAGCTATTCACTTATTGGCTAAATTCATGTTCTTTTAACTTTCAGAAGTGATTGGATAAGTCAATCTCTTCCACAGACAATAATAATCAATTTGATCATTTAAAACTTTACGCAAGCTGTCTGTCACTTATCGCAAGTTTAGTGATCCCATTTCTTCGGTTGGGTTCAATTAGCATAAACTTTCTAATAGTTGCTCACAATTCTAACATAAATATACTCTGGAAAGCGCGGCAATCAAAATAAAAGAAATACTGCTATCTACACTTGTTGATCAACATGTTTGAAATAAGCCTGATACCAGAGAGGACAGTTTAAATCCCCATGTAACTTTTTATCCGGCAGAGCAAACCAAATATGCCTAAATATGACATCTCCAACATAACGCTCACCACAAACAAACTATTAATATGTACAGACAAGTGGATGCAATAAGGTGACTGTGACAACATTTGTTTAAAACATGCATTCATGAATCAGAGTAATGCAGAGTCTTACGCTAAGCGTTATATTTGCATCCATGAGAAAGTCCAGTATTTCCGCTGTCGTTTTCTTACTATTAGGAGACTGCTGACATTTCCATCTCCACTGCAACTTTGTTCCTTCCTTCTCGAATGTCCATGACAACTGCTTAACATTCAGAGAATACACACACGGGAAAAAGTAGTTCTTTTGGTCAAACTGGATACCGTAGAATTTTAAACCTTCGAAGACAATCAACATTAGCAGTTACTGCTGGACAAAAAGATATTAGCACTTACTCTTTTATGCCCATCACCGGCATCAGCGAATCCGTATATAGAGTCAGGTTGCTGAAACCCTAAGTATTGCTCAGCCAATCGCACATACTCCGACACTGGCTGGTCCCACTGAGTAGCCCGCTCTTTGACCTCCTCCTCCGACGCTAACAAAACACAGTAAGAGAAAAAAGAAGAATAAGAACTTCATTTTATAATTGCTCGAAGCAATTAAAGACTCTAATCGAGAAAAGATATCGCTACCATGACAAACCCAAGCATTGAAGCCATCTGTTATGGAGAGGTCAAAGCGGGTATCATACCAAGTACCCTTCACAAATATGGGTTCAGCATCTGTGGGGTCGCCGGTATTAGGAAGCTGTAGCTTTAAGCATGTGTGTCTCTTTGCCTCCATTCCTGAGTTGTCGTCTTCCTCTATGAGAATCTGGAAGTGGGAAAGTTTGTGGCTTTTCCCGCCTTCTGTTCCTCTTCGGTTCAAAACCGTGCGGTAACTACGTTCACCGTTCCTTCCCCGCTGAGTGTCGGGTAGTATACAATGAGGGCACTTAAGTATTTGCCATTTTCTTATATTTATCCCTTTTGGTCTTTTCATGTCACGAGGGCATATTCCCAGGGAACACGTGCAGAGGCATCTGATAGGCCCTGAATTGCTGATGATCAGCTCAATTATCACAAAAAATCCGGGAAAATGATGATAACTCCAGGGCTCTTGGTTCTTCTCTTGGTATGTTCTTTTTCTGCAATCTCAACTCACGGAGATGAAGACCCATCAATCAGAACAATGGAGGAATTCTCCGGTTATCCAATTCACGAACCTGATTCTTCTATTCCAAGTTCGGTTTCTTCATTATACGTTGATGCCCAGAATCTGCAGAAGCAGGTAGTGAACTAATATTCGATGAATTGACTACAATGGTTGGTGGTCTTCTACTCTTCTAACATTTAGAACTGTACTCGTTCGTAGATTGATGAACTCTCGAGCTTCTCTGATACACCTGCCCCGTCAGTAACCAGGGTCTTGTATACTGAAAAGGATGTTTTAGCTCGCAGGTATGTAAGATTAGATTGATGTATGCTGTTTTGTGCGACGATTACGATAAGCAGGAAATTGGTACAGTTGCTTATTGTTATACATAAGATGACGGGTGTAAACTTCGTCGAACATTAATAAAATGGGTGAAACTAAGATACTATTTAAAACAGAATAAATGGAAACATGAGTGGCATTTGCGGTCTTTTCTGTCCCCTGTCGGTAGAAAAAATTGGTTAATTTATGTATAATATTATCTTCTTTGAATGTATATGTTCCTATCTTTGGTTAGACCTTGTTCTTGTCTTCCATCTGTAGGTATGTTAAAAACTTGATGGGACTTGCTGGTCTTTCAGTTAGAGAGGATGCTGTGGGTAACATATTTGGTCGTTGGTAAGTCTCTACTTGTTCTTCACACATGGTTCATTATATTTTACAGCGAACTACCTCTCACCTAATATTTGAAGCCAGGGATATCTCTGATCTCTATATTTTTGTTAGTTATCCCTGACTTGATTATCAAGCTTATATTAACTTTAGTCTTCCGAAAACTTAGTTACGGAGTAACTGTAATTAACTAGCTATACTAAGGCCCCTATATTCTATCACTTTATGCAGGGTTGGCCAAGAACCCGAGCTTGCTGCAGTTGCAACAGGTTCTCACATTGATGCTATCCCTTATTCTGGTAAATATGATGGAGTTGTTGGGGTTTTAGGTGCCATAGAAGCCATCAATGTCCTGAAAAGGTAATTTTATCTGAATTCTGGAGATATTAATTTTCTGTGCCCATTCACTGTCCACTTTGGTCAACTAGTAATAATTTTCGACGTTGAATGAACTGTCACAGGTCTGGATTCAAACCTAGAAGGTCGTTGGAAGTCATACTATTTACTTCCGAAGAGCCTACACGCTTTGGTATCAGCTGCTTGGGAAGGTCAGCAACACCCTTAATTTCTGTCCTATAATAGGACTCATACTTTGGGGAAGTCTTTTTATCTTATTTATAAATTATAAATTGTAAATCATAAATCATAAACCCTTAATTCACTTCTGTTACAACTTATAATATTTCCACTTTTTCAGATTGACTACAACATGGATCAACATGTCATTTATTGACTTGTATTCTGGTTTGATTTGAATTGTGTCTTTTATGGACAGCCGCTTGCTGGCTGGGAGCGATAATCTTGTGAAAGCTCTTAGGACAACAACTGATAGTCAAAACATATCCTTTTTAGATGCTGCAAGATCTGCTGGATATGCAAAATATGAAGATGACTTGTCGAGTGTATTCTTAAGCAAAGGAACGTATTCTGCTTTTATAGAACTGCACATAGAACAAGGTCCTATTCTGGAAGAAGAAGGTACAATTGACTTTGAATGTTCTAGTTCTAGTCCTTGCCTCAGCTATAGCTTCAGTGACCATCTATAATTGTTTCCTTGACCCAGGCATATCTGTAGGCATAGTTACGGCAATAGCAGCCCCAGCAAGCCTGAAGGTCGAATTTGAAGGCAATGGTGGCCATGCAGGCGCTGTCCTAATGCCTAACAGGTAGTTACTGTGTTTAAATGCGATTTTTTTGGTTGTTGTTTTGGGGTTGGGGATTTGCACTTTGACTTCAACCTTTTATTTCAGTAGGACAAAATTTCTTCTTTTTAGTGATTTATTTAGGTCCTTTCATAATGTTGAGTGAAAGGGTAATAGTTTTCAGCAGCTTACTATTTGGCTAAAAGAATTATTTAAAAAGAAAAAAACTATCACCTGATCCTTTAAGTGTCATACTTAGTAATTTGAATTTTCAAGTATGTTTCTTTTATTAAATTGTTGGTTTGAATTACCAGAATGTGCACGCATCTGTTATTAACTGTTTGCTGGAAAAGGAGGCCATGTTCGTAATTTGACTAAGATGTGATGCAAGTTGAAGTATCGAATTGGTAAATAATGAATAAACAAAGCACTAATTTTTTTTCAAATATTGAAAATAAGGAACTATATTGGATAAGTTTATATATTTGAGTGGGTAAAATGTTAGTTTAGAATTATCGTCAAGGCGATTCCGTAAATTTTGATGAAAAGAGCAGTAGCATTCAATAGCATGCTGTCTCTTGAGCACATGAAGTTTGACACTTGGGTATTTTAATTTTCGAGTTTTCTTTAATATTTTACCCTCCAATATACTATTGCACAGCAAATACTGAAAATAAACTTTGATCCCTTTGAGCATTGTGCTCCAGTATTCTGATCCCTTGTGAAATTAAAGTAACATAACGAACTCTTAACGATTTAGTTATAATTTCTCTAAACATCGTATGGAGCAGAAATGATGCTGGACTGGCAGCTGCTGAGTTAGCCCTTGCTGTTGAGAAACATGTATTGGAATCTGGTTCTATTGATACTGTTGGTACAGTCGGTAAGTAGTATTTCCTTCACACGTAAGCATATTCTTTTACACTGACTCCATGCCCTTGATATGTTTTGAACAACCCCAGCTCCACGAACAATTGATCTTTGATCTATAACTTTTTATTTATAATTAACTTCTCCAATGTCTAAAGGCATCCTAGAACTGCATCCTGGAGCAATCAACAGTATCCCCAGCCGGTCCCACTTGGAAATTGGTGTGTATCTAAAGAACAACTTTGGCATACTTGGCTTAATTACAATATGTTTAATTACTTGGAGTTTTTTCCATATAATGGCACTGTACAATTTCAGTGGGATATCTATCTACATATGTTGCGGTTTTGCTTAATCTTCCGATGGATAATCCAAGCTACCAATACCTTATACCTTTTTCACAATTTTGAATTTGTTGTGGCAGACACAAGAGATATCAATGAAGAACGAAGGAACCAAGTTATTGAGAAATTTCACCAATCAGCAATTAGAATTGCCAAAACCCGAGGTGTAAGGCTTTCAGAGTTTCATATCATCAACCAGGATCCACCGGCAACTTCTGCTGAAGAAGTCATAAAGGCGATGGAAACTGCAACAAGAGAGCTCAACCTGACGAGCAAGCTGATGATTAGTAGAGCCTACCATGATTCCCTGTTTATGGCCAGGTAATTATTGAGTTGATAGACACGTTTTTGACAAAAACGAAGTTTTGTTATGTGGCAGCCAAATTTGAAATTTTATTTTGGCCAGTTAATCTTCACCCGTGGACCCAGCCTTAACAAAAATGAAAAGAAATTAATAAATTTGGGTAGGTGAGAGTAAGAGAAGAGTTTTTTTAGGAGCACTACTCTGTTAAGCTGTTTTGATCCTGCTCTATCTGGTTTGTTCACAATATTGACGCAAGCCTTATTGGCAGGACCGCAGGAGCTAACTGAACTGCTCCAGCATATAACTATAGTATTATTAACTATACAAAGCAATGCTCATGTTACGTTAGATAAATGTCTGGTGCTGATTAGCTTCGTGCTACTGCAGGTTGTCTTCAATGGGCATGATCTTCATCCCATGTTACAAAGGTAAGCACTCTTAGGGTGTGTTTGGTATGAGAGAGGGGAGGGAGGGGGAAGGATTTTAATCATTTCCCCTTATTTGGCAACACACAAATTTTAGGAGAGGAGGAAAAATTTTAAAAAATTTTCCTTCCCCTCCCCTCCCCTCCCCTCCGAAATTGGGAAGATTTGGAGGGAAAGAGTAATATTTTACTATGTTGTGACTATTATGCTCATATTTTGCCATGTTGTGACCATTATGCCCATATTTTAAACAAAATAAGGGCAAAATTGTTCATATTAAAATATTTTTCCCTCCCCTCCCCTCATGAACCAAATAAAGTAATATTAAAACTCTTCCTCTCCCCTCTTTTTTTATAAATCCAAACAAAGTAATATTAAAATCCTTCTACTCTTCTCCCCTCCCCTCCATTAAAATCTCTCCCCTCCCCTTCCTCTCATTAAGCCAAACAGACTCTTAAATTCTTTTCTAGTCTATAATCATGGTAATAAAAGAGGACGAATAAATAGTTTGTGCTTTTCTAATGTAATAATTGATTTAAACATAAACAACAACTTTCGAAAAGTATGTTTAATTATATGTAATTTTGTACTCTTGAAGAATGTATTGCCATGAACCCTATCTGCTTCTATCTATGAGGCACTGATCTTGCATGCATAAGGATGCAATCCATGTGCCCGCAACTTGAACGTGGAAGCACTGATTTTTTATTTTGAATGTTGATACATTCACACGAACGCAGACTTTCCAGTCCGAACTTGCTGAATGGGGAGCTTAAGCAATTTATCTTCTTCTAATATTTGAATCAAGCCAAAAAAAAAAAAAAGGATTTATCATCATTCTCATATATCTTGTTTATTTATGCAGGATACAGCCATAAACCTGAAGAGTTTGCCAGCATTCAAGATATGTCAAATGGCGTTAAGGTTTTGGCTCTCACCCTGGCCAAATTGTCCCTTCTATAAGATCTTCTGTAATGGCTGTGTATTGTCTATGGGATTTGGGATGTACTCTTCTGCGGATACAACCTAATGTTTAAAGAACCTTTAACTTGAATGTGCATGAGAGTGACCCGGAGAAAGAGAGAAAGGTCTGATCCTTCTAAAATATATTCCATCATATGGCAGAAATACGAAAACTGTATCTATAAGAAACAAGGAACACTTCTTACATGGATAAAATGGAAGTACATTTACAATGAGTAGCAGAAACGAATTGCCCCTCATTAGGTCACAAAAACGAAACAATCATACAAAAGGAACATGTGCTGATTACTGTGGTGGTAGAATCCAGTTGCTTATGCTCCAAGCAGAAGGTTACCGTATCTCTTCATGATTAGGATGGCAGAATCATTAATTGTGATTTCCTTATCAGCTACTCAGTTGTATATCTATCCAACAATGTAAATGGTGAAAGACAAGAAAATGAAGCTCCGTGGCCCTACTCTGTTATGGCCTTCTTGTTAGCGTCTTTTTTAGTCGTTGTAGCACCATTAATTTGGTCCATTTGTCCAGCTTTTACCAGCAGAATCTCAATCTGTGGAAAGGAGTAATTGAGTCAGCAGCATTTTATGTTTGAAAAGAATCTATACGTCAGTTGAGGAGATGAAGCACCTTGGCCTTGTGAAGCAGCCGGCCTCTTTGGTCTCCCTTAGAGGCAACAGTAGATATAGCGACATCTGGATCATTCACCATATGAAAAGCAAGCAATCCCATTAAATCATGAACATTTTTTTCATTGACAAGTTTAGGGTGGGGAAGGAATAGAGATCTTACTTTTCTCAATAGCCAAACCATTGCGTTTCAAGTTCTCAGAGATGATTATAAGCGTCGTAATAGCTGAATTCAGTAGTCAAGAGAATGAAGCTAGTAAATGAAAGATAATGGATATATGCATCGCATGGGAAGTTGAAACATCATCCAACGGCTATTGGCATTAATTCATGAACAATCTATCACAAACACGATTTATAATTTTAATATTCTCGTCCAGCTTTATATATGCGACTGTAGGTGGAGATTGAAAAGGAAAATATTTATCGGGGCAACATGCTTCAAGACATTATATTATACCTGTGCCCAGTGCAGAGAGCTCAACGATGTTATACTGATTCAGGAATTTCTGCATTCAAAAGAAATGCCACATCAAAACCTTAACAAGCATTGAATAATATCCAATTCTTTATGCTCTTAACCCATTCTAAAGTCCAGACTCTACTAATGCAAACGAGAGAAAAATGAGAAGGCCTTCGAATACATTGTTAAACGCCAAGAAACAGAGATGAGAATGAACTGCTATACCAAAAAGAAAACTGAATAGAAAATTAGATCTTGCATCTTTCTTTGGTTCCTCGCGCCGGGAAAAGAAGATGCATAAAATGAAGCGAAGAATTGAAAAATACCTTGGCAAGATTGATGTAAAAGATGAGGGGTTTCTTGCTACTGGAAACATGAATTTGGTGATCCTTCCTGAGATAAAACTGGGGCTCAGCTGTAACGGTGGCAGTGGCAGTCTCACTGCCTTCATTAACAGCGTTGTGCTTCTCGTGCACGCCATTCTTGAATTGTTCTCCAGCAGCGTTCTTGCACTCAGAAACAACCACGATCGCGTCCATTGAATAATACTCTGTGATCTTCCACTTTCTTTCTTAGAAGCTCCGTGACGAAGGAAGGAGGTTACGCGCAGGTGGGGGCTATTTATAAGGGATCACGGCCTGCTAACGACGCCACTAACCACTTAAAAACTGACTGGTTCTCTTCCGACGGATCATAATTTTGGCCGCTGACACCCAACAACGCAACAGAACTGAATTTACTTGTAACTTGAAACACTCTGTTTTCAATACATTTCATGCAAATATTTATTTTCTTATAAATGTAAATTTAGAATAAAAAAAGTTATTACTTAAAAATTATAAATAATATATGTTTTGTTCCAATTACATAGGAATATTCCAAGTAGTTAGTTGAATAATTTGAGTTGATTAAAAAAGTTTGTTAAGTTAGTAATTTGAATAGTATAATTATAAGACCCAAGTTAGGAGATTAAGTAAGTTTGGTTATTATAATAAATAAGTTGTCATTCTTAAAATATCTTACTAATTAAGTATATTGGCTAAAACTATCATTATTAGAAGGATTATCTTGGAAAAAAATGCATAAATATAAATTGGTAATAAAAGTCAAATTGGGTCTATAATTATTATTTTTCTTAAAATATTTTTTACTAATAATATGTATTAGCTATAACTATCATTTGATGAAATATTTAACATGTGCAAGTACTATAAAGGACTACTTTAAAAAATATAAATAAATATGAGATATAAATGGATTAAGGTCTTATGTTAAAGACCAAATTGAATATGAAACTAACTCTTATATTAAGAATAGAGGTATTATTACTCAACAATGGACAAACAATTCTTTTTTTTTTTGGCAAGTACAGGTATCTTTCTATTGGAGCCTTGGAGGCAATCTTGTTCGATGTACTATTGAATACTAAATGTAGATATTTCTCCTAACGAGAATTCAAATCTTGATTCACCATTGCGAGGGATTAACTCTTTCTGCTAAACTTAATTCGTGTTGTTAATGGACAAACAATCCGGTACATGAGTATTAAATTCGAGTGCTCCATAAACAATAACAATTACAATATGGCTCGGATCTAAATGACTGTTTTCTTTCTTTTACTTTTTCCCCCATTTTGATAAAATAATATTCCTCTAGTTCTTAAATATATAAGACATATTTAACTAATTTAATTAAATTAAGAAAATTAAGTAAGTTAGTTAATTATAAAAAAATATGATATATTTTTCCTAAAACACGATGATCATTTTCCTTAATATCTTCCCCTTCCTCTTCTACTTGATTGTGGTTGAGAGAGTATCCGTAGGGGTAATTTAGAAAAAACAGATAAATATCAAAAAAGTTCTTATATTTAGGATCAAAATAAAAACCAAAGGAGTAACTATTTTCTTTCTTTTTAATTAGGCTTTAATTTGACTTAAAAGATGAGCTAATAAAAATGCGAAGATCGCAGTGATTTTTTCTACCAGATTTAGTTGTTATAATTGCGAGATTCCAACGAATGAAAATGGAAAAAATACCAAAAACAGAATTATGAAATTATCATTTCCTAATCTAGGCATCTAAAAATTGAAAATGACAGATAAAGAAGTGATACCTGATCTGGTATTTGGTAAATATAGTTAAATGACTAAAATATTTTTGCATCAATTTAGAAGGAGAAAAACTGTCAAAGTTGTCATTTCCTCTTCACAACTTGTTAATAAATAACTTATTATTGTCAGTATATTTCTTATCATTTGCAATTTAACACTTATTATTACCAGTTCATAATTTCTTAATAAACTTTTTGATACAAGAGCATTTTGGTTATTTAATTACATTTACAAAATACCATATCAGACACAACTTTCTCTCTTAAGATTTTAAAGTATTAGGTGCTAATTTAAAATATAACATTTTTCAACTTATTTATTTATCATATTCCCATGAAAATATGGTTCGGTGCATTGAGAATGACAACCTTTGTTATTAATCAAATCTTTTGTTTCTCTTTACTAAAATATTATTTCTGATTATTAATATAAAAGTTAGTTTAATTTTAATTTGATTCTAAATATAATATCTTAATCTACTTTACTTTTCATATTTATCTATTTTTTTAAAGTAATCCTTATAATAGTTACACATATAAGATTTCAGGCCTGTTTGGGTGCTCTGAAACCGTGGTTTCAGAAGCACTTTTCCGCAAAACGAGGTAACCTCCTCACTTACTTCGTAATTCGTAAAAGCACTTCTGAAACCATGGTTTGGTTTCTATCCAAACATCCCTTCATCAAATAGTAGTTTTAGCTAAAACACATTATTAGTAAAGGTATTTTAGGAAAGACAATATCTATTTATTATAAATAACTAACTTAACTAATTTTTTTAATATATCTAAATTAGTTAACTAGATCTTATATTAAGTCCTAGAATAACAAAACATTTTGTTTCTTTTATGCACGTGGCCTTTTAAACACTAAAGAAGGAGATGTGCAGTTTTCTTGATGTGATTAAATATTCAAGATTCAATTAAAAAAAAAAAAAAGACTCAATCAAAACCAGTTCCGACGGAATTTTTTTTTAAAAAAAAATTTATCGCCTATTTGACTGCACTCTATTCATTTGTTCACAAAATTTTTTTAAGGTCATAAAAACAGAAGAAGGAAAAAGTTTTTATAAGATTTATTAAAACGAGCACGTTTGAACATTAAGGCCTTGTTTAATACTATATCCAGTCCTTAATATAAAAACCAGTTAACTAATTTGAGTAGATTAATAAAACTAGTTAAGCTAGTTATTTGTAATAAATAAGTACTATTTTTTCTAAAATATCCTTACTAATTAAGTGCATTGGCTAGAATTACTATTATGACAAGAACTGCCTTGAAAAAATAAATAAATATGAGAGACAAAGTAGATTAGGGTATTATATTTGAAACCAAAATAAAAAGTTAAACGTGCTCTTATATTAAAAACCGGAAGTAATAGTATATTAAAAGGAAGAGAGAAAAGGAACAAGAACATTTTTGACACAATTTTCCGTTTAAAACCATATTTTATTTTAATGATGGAGTAGAAATTTTGAAAATGAAAAGACAATAACACCCTATAACTTGTTCTTCCTGATATTTCTCCTGTGAAAACAGGCACAAATTCACGACAAATAATAGATGAGTGATTAATGGAAGGAGACAAAGGCAAGGGAGGTTTGACGAGGGTAAATTAGTCCCAAAAGAAAAAAAGAACGTTTCTCAGTCAGAAAACACTCCATTTGTGGAAAGCAAGGTGGAACTTCCTTCAACGTCAACACTGTAAAGTTTGAGTTTGTAGTACAGAGTGATCCTAACTTTTTTTTTTGGTGTGTGTTTATGAGGCATTATCGATTTATTTTTAAAAAAGGAG